AGACAGTCAGAGACAGACTCTGTGTGTGTGTGTGTGTGTGTGTGTGTGTGTGTGTGTGTGTGTGTGTGTGTGTGTGTGTGTGTGTGTGTGTGTGTGTGTGTGTGTGTGCGCGCGCAAAAGAGACAGAGAGACAGACAGACAGACAGACAGACAGACAGACAGACAGACAGACAGACAGACAGACAGACAGACAGACAGAGGGAGAGAGAGAGAGAGAGAGAGAGAGAGAGAGAGAGAGAGAGAGAGAGAGAGAGAGAGAGAGAGAGAGAGAGAGACTGCCCCACCACAATTGTCGTTGAGTTGGAGTGGGTGGAGAAACTGACTTCTTGTTGTGGTAGTCGAATCGGTCCCCTCTGTAAATTCCGCACTGCGGTGAACTGTCAACAGTGAAAAACAGAAGCCCTGCAGTGGTCATTAAATCAAGAGCTACCTGGCGCCTGGACGCACGAGAATGTTGTGTGAGCTCAATTTATGCCCACGCACGCAAGGTACAATCTTGTTTCCAGGTTGTTGAAATGTCGCGCCTTGAAATTTAAACTAAACTTCTGAATCCCGCCCAGCTGGAGTTAAAAACATACGTAAGTGAAGAAGTATAAAACTCAAGCAATGGGCTCGTCTTTGCTGACAGATTTAGGAGCCTGAGGCAAGTTGGAAATGAAACAGTGCACTGTTAAGTGTTTGAAAGAAGAGCAAGGTTAGAGACACATCCTTGTGGTATGTGCACTTGCAGGGAAACGGTCATGTAGGAAATAAAGGCAAAACGTTGAGCATGGCCTGCACAAAAAATCCCATAAAAAATGCATGACAAAGTTTTTGTTCTCAGTCCATAGGCCTATGCTTCACTCCTTTACTTGTTTCGTTTTCCTTGTCGACTACGCGGAAAATGAAAGTGTCGAGGCAAGGGTTCCTTTTGATTTATATAAACGCTTTGCACTTGGAGCCCATTGAAAGTCGTTTCATTGTAAGTGGCAGTTTTGTGTGTGTGTGTGTGTGTGTGTGTGTGTGTGTGTGTGTGTGTGTGTGTGTGTGTGTGTGTGTGTGTGTGTTGGGGGGGGGGGTACACGCCTTTACTGAGAAACAGACTGCAACATCCTTTGACTTAAACTTGTCTTGCCCTGCAGTTCGTAAGCTAAACTGTTTAGATCGTCGGTAACGTCGCAATAATACGATAGTTTGTGGGCGATCTACACGCATTAGTTCTTCAAAGCAATGCACAATGTTCCTTCTGTATTCGGTTATAGTTTCACCTGAGTACCCCGATGTCATTAGTGCCTCCGAGGTTTCAAGCCTGGATCATGACAGTAGTTGTTAGCCACAAATTCTGGTCTGTTTCTCTACAAAGGGTATACAGAGTTTAGCATATATCATGGAAGACAGTATTGCAGGCGAATTGCAGGCGAATTCCCAACGAGGTACTCCTGAATTTATTTTGTTTGAGAAGCTAAGTTCCTCAACGCTGTTTGTTCTGTTCTGTTAAAGTTGAACTTAAATCGGCGAAAAAAGCCTTGTGGTAGTCGTAGATATCTGAAACATCGTAAGCGTCTGCAGTGTGTAGGCCAGCGATGGACGTTTACTGGCTCCACACTCCATTTGTAAAAACCTGAAATGTCCTTAGCCCATCTTGGCTGTGGAAAATGGGGAAGCTCAAAGGTGATTACATTGCCTTTCGTGCTTGTGACGCTAAGGCAAGACATTTGAATCGTCGTGAAATGTGTTTTTGTTTTTTGTTGGCGTTGTTTTTGTTTTGTTTTTTTGTTGTGGTTTTTGTTTTGTTTTTGCTTTTGGTTTTGGTTTTGGTTTTTTGTGGGGGGGGGGGGGGTTGGGGGGTGAGGGGAGGACCACACTGGCACAACTAGCTCACATCGAAAGAGATGTGTGGTACGATACAACTGTTCTTTTGCAACTTACCATCATTTACAAGAAAAGGTTTGAAGAAAAATTTTGTTTTGTATTTTTGTGTGTTGGCTGTTTGTAAATCAACGTTCCGTATGGAAAAATGAAGTGGATTTATGTCAGCTTAATAATAACAATAATAATAAATGGCATTTATATAGCGCTCAACCTTGCTTAAAGAACACGCAGGCTCTGGGCGGTTCGAATGTATTTTATCTTCATGGATCAAACTTTCTACCCCTTTTTTCATTCCGTTTTCAGTCACCTGGCAAGGAACCCACTTATCTGTGACTGCAACCTGAAATGGCTGGCTCACTACCTTGAGAAATACCCTGTAGAGACGAGCGGTGTGCGCTGCCTCACGCCCAGACGGGTACGCAAAAAGAAAATCAGTCTGCTGAGACCAGAGAAGTTCAGATGCAAAGGTATTTAATTTGTGTTCAGTTTTGGATCGAAATCGAATAGTGTCGCTTTCTCTCTCTCTGTCTCTCTCTCTCTCTCTCTCTCTCTCTCTCTCTCTCTCTCTCTCTCTCTCTCTCTCTCTCTCTCTCTCTCTTTCTCTCTCTTTCTCTCTCTTTCTCTCTCTCTCTCTCTCTTTCTCTCTCTCTCTATCTCTCTCTCTCTCCTACTTGTTACTTTTTGCCTGTGTGAAGGACGGACATCACTGCACAAGGGGAATCCCCATAAGCGCTCCGTCCCCTGAAGAAGCACATTTCGAAGTGTGTAGATGCTGACGGTTCCAAGCAATGGTTGATTCCAAAGCCTTCTGCTCATCCCACTCTCTCCTTTATGTCC